GAGAGAGAGAGAGAGAGAGAGAGAGAGAGAGAGAGAGAGAGAGAGAGAGAGAGAGAGAGAGAGTTTTCCATCGATAGGATGAGCAACGCACAGGCCAGCAGGTAAGTCTCCAACTCCGCTGCTGCTTCCATCAATTGGATGAGCAACGCTCATGGTCGCCTCCATGGGGGATTCGTAGCCTACCTTCACTTGCAAGAAGGCAACCTCTTATAAGAGGAAAAATATGTAAAAGAAGGACAAAGAAAAAACAGTGTTCTTGTTTTTTTTCTCCCCGTTAAACACATCCAAGTGTTCATTCACTGCCCGTGGGACTACCTGGCTAGTACATGATGGACCTTAGGAGAGACTCTCGTCTATGCATGGGGAGCAACATGTGCTGGGAATTGGGCTCAGTGTTTCAAAATAGGATTTCATTTTGCACAACGCATATGGGGATAACACCGCAACATTTTTTTTTAAGTATTTTCTTTTATTTCTTCTAAGAGAAGACAGTTCTCTAGTCTATTCATGGGGAGCAAGACGTTCTGGAAACCAGGCCCAACGTCCCAGTTGAGAACATATTGAGAAAATATGCAGAACAATTTGACATACCGGGGCCATTACCCGACTTCGGTTAGGACTGGTTGTTATGCTCATGACATAGACGAAAATCAGAAGAGCTAGGAGAACAACCCTGAAGCTTTAATTCATAGGAGCTTTAAGACCACAAACAACCTACATCGTTGCCTTTTAGCAGTCCAACCTTAAACCTACCTCAACCCCTATATCCTGATACCCAATCTCTACCAGGTCTCACACCTCCAAGTTCCCCAACTGCTAGGTTACAGAGTGGCACAACCCACCCCAGAACAATCCCCCACCTGCTAGGCTATAAGACGAAGCGACCCGCCCTGGCTCCGGCTAGTGTCGACTGAGTATCAGCTCACCAATGAACGCTTGAGTGCCTTCCACCCTCGACAACTCCCCAGATCTCTATATCGAGTCTTGTGCCCCCGTTGTAGGGCCCCACCCTGTTATACTTTTGAACGTGGGTCGGCCCATCAGCGTGTCCCTGTTGGCTCAGCCTTGCTCATGCACTTGCCGAGTGCGCGGAGCGCTCGTTACAGGGACACCCTCACCTAGTGCTTTGAGATGGATAGGGGTGGGCCCACTAGCGAGAGAGCTTTGAAATTGGGGATGGATCTCAACCTTCTTGCTACGTAGGTAGTCTCGCTGATCCTAGGTTCATTCTCAATGCTTTCTTGTGTTTGAAGGCAATTGCTCCTTCCAATACTCATGCAGTCGAAGGAGTTCTTTTAAAAACTCATTTTTTTTTATGCGTAGGTCAGCTGTCCTCTTTGGGCCACACATCTAAGTGCAGAGTCTAATGGCATCGACGAGCCGGAGAACTCGCCCTTCGGCTTGGGCAGGCTGAYTAAGTCATGCTGTTGTTGTCGCCTCACTAGCACACCCCCTGCTTTGGCCTCTAGCCGATCAACGTGCTTGATTCCTACAACTCATGAATCAAACATATTCCCTGCATTGCTCTTCATTGGCTTGTCTATACACACCTTAGTCTTCGGGGCCCCGCCCACGTACTCATGCGATTTGACAGTCCTCTCGACCATCCGACACTTTCTCGCCAACATCCAAAGATTGAGACATCATTTTCTAGCAAAGAAGGAGCGTCACACAAAATAGGGTTCATTCATGGGCGAAGGTTTCGTTCAAAATTCATTTTGCTTCGTTCTATTTCGCCACGGGATCTCACCGGGCATAATCTCACTCAAGGCACGTTAGCCAGTTACTCACCTGCACACTCAATGCAATATGGGAACAAACAGAATCCCCATTTGGGTTAAGACATAATCTCTCCCCCGTGCTTTTTCTCTTTCTCTTTCCGGTTCCTCTCTTTTCTTTCCTTGTTCACGCCATCCTCTTCTCATTCTCATGCAGTTGGGATGTTGATTGACTCCACTAACCTCACTTTCACTCAGCGAATCCATTCAATCCTTAGAACTCGTTAATCCTCAAGTCTACTTAATCCTCAAGTCCTTTGCACTCAAAAAAATCTTTCCAATTCTTAAACACTTTTTCTTCTTGGTAGCGCAAGGGACCGGCGACCCTCCCCTTGCCCTTTCTTTCCACTAAGTGAGATCAAAGGTTTTTCGCCGTTCGTCCAATGGCAATCTGACAAGCGAGTGGGGAAGGGTTAGTCGCATGCCAAGACAAAGAGGGGGAGAAGGGTTCAGTTTAGACCTAGAGTACAGGGGTAGAGCGGGGAGGCTAGCGAACAAGGGAGGGAGAGAGAGAGAGAGAGAGAGAGAGAGAGAGAGAGAGAGAGAGAGAGAGAGAGAGAGAGAGAGATCTTCTATGCTTAATCAAAGTCGAACACGTACTTAGCCTATCGTCTCTACTAAGAACCCACTTTATGTTTTGCAATCCCATTTCTCTTTGGACATGACGACGACTGGGTGTGGTGGAAATAGAAAGAGTAAGGTGGTTGGCTATCGTGGATGTGTGATAAAGTTGGAGGAAGAAGGTGTGACATTGTTGGTTATGGCAGATGGGTGATGGAGGTGGCGGAAGAAGACGGTGAAAGGTGGTGGGCTATGGCGGATGGATGATGGAGGTGGCGGAAGAAGAAGTGTGAGGTGGTTGGCTATGGTGGGTGGGTGATGGAGGTGGAGGAAGAAGGTGTGCGGTGGTTGGCTATGGTAGACGGGTGATGGAAGTGGAGGAAGAAGAAGGTGTGGGGTGACTGGCTATGGCGGATGGGTGATGGAGGTGGAGGAGGAAGAAGGTGTGAGGTGGTCTGCTATGGCAGATGGGTGATGAAGGTGGAGGAAGAAGAAGGTGTGAGGTGGTTGGCTATGGTGGATRGGTGATGAAGGTGGAGGAAAAAGAAGGTGTGAGGTGGTTGCCTATGGCGGATAGGTGGTGAACGTGGAGGGAGAAGGTGTGAGGTGCTTGGCTATGGTGGATAACTGATGGAGGAGGAGGAAGAAGAAGGTGTGAGTTGGTTGGCTATGGTGGATGGGTGATGGAGATGGAGGATGAAGAAGGTGTGAGGTGGTTGGCTATGGTGGATGGGTGATGGAGGTGGAGGATGAAGAAGGTGTGAGGTGGTTGGCTATGGTGGATGGGTGATGGAGGTGGAGGAAGAAGAAGGTGTGACGTGGTTGACTATGGTGGATTGGTGATGGAGGTGGAGGAAGAAGAAGGTGTGAGGTGGTCGGCTATGGTGGATGGGTGATGGAGGTGGGGGAAGAAAAAGGTGTGAGGTGGTTGGCTATGGTGGATGGCTTATGGAGCTGGAGGAGGAAGAAGGTGCGAGGTGGTTTGCTATGGTGGATGGCTAATGGAGGTGGAGGTAGAAGGCGTGAGGTGGTTGGCTATGGTGGATGGGTGATGGAGGTGGAGGATAAAGAAGGTGTGAAGTGGTTGGCTATGGTGGATGGGTGATAGAGGTGGAGGACGAAGGCGGCGTGAGGTGGCTGGCTATGGTGGATGGGTGATGGAGATGAAGGAAGAAGAAGGTGTGAGGTGGTTGGCTACGGTGGACGGGTGATGGAGGTAGAGGAAGAAGGTGTGAGGTGGTTGGCTATGGTGGATGAGTGATGGAGGTGGAGGAAGAAGAAGGTGTAAGATGGTTGGCTATGGTGGACGAGTAATGGAGGTGGAGGAAGAAGCAGGTGTGAGGTGGTTGGCTATGGTGGACGGGTGATGGAGGTGGAGGAAGAAGAAGGTGCGAGGTGTTGAAGGAGGTGGAGGAGGTAGAGGAAGAAAGAAGTGAGAAGTGGTTTTGCTATGGTGCCTTCGCACATCTACRTATCGGTCCCGACCCTCTTGTGTCCTTCTTAGGTATGAATTCTCAGAAAACTCATATTTGGGAAAACTCAGACTTTGCAAAATACTCAGATATGTAGAAACTCAGATTTGGTAGAAAAACTCAGATTTTGCAGATTTGAACATGTTTCTACCATCGGAGGGGCAAAAAACGCAGATCTCTGTTTGCTGCCCTAAATGACGTCAACTGGGTTTGTAACTTTGCTGACCATCTGTACACACCCTTCAGATGACCCTCCTAAGTTTGTGTCCCATTGTGATGCCGTTTGCCCTTACTTGCCSGTTTTTGGCTTTGCCCGTAGCTCGAAGTTAAGARTTTGAGGAAGTCCATCTTCCGTTTTTGCCGGAAACTGAACTTAGGTGGACCTAGGACTTTGCAGACCATCTACCAAGGCCTAGGACATAGGGTCTGACAAGTTCCAGCGCCCAGCCCCTTTGTTTGGCGGGGTCTGTTTTTTTGCCCCCACAGTAGTCGCGCAGAATGGTTGACAATTCCGGACCAATCTGTGGTCGGGACTGAACAACGGTTCTAGTAGCAGGAGTCAAATACTCAATCTGCTGATAGCAGCAATAGTAGGAGCATCATCATCATCATCAGCAGCAACAGTAGTCTCCCTTCCATCTCTTTCTTATAATGGCTCCGTCGACACTTGGTAAGGATCAGTTTGTTATGCAAGACGATGAAGATGATGCGACACATTTGGATGACAAGGCCTTATCCGAGTCTAGGGGAGCACAGTTTAGGTCGGTCAAGTTGGAGTATAGCTAGTTGAGTTCATAATAGAATACAGGGGTGGGTAGTACGATACAACTTAGACCCGTAGGAGACATGGATTCCGACATCCTACGTTAGAGAAGGAGTAGGGGTGTTTGAATAAAGCACATGGGGACGGGGGGGGGGGGCGGGGGGTCATAACGGCGAGAATACATAACCCTATCACAGACTCACGACTAGTGGAAGCCCTAAGAGTGAAGCAGAATACTACCAAGTGAAAGATTGACGACAAACATAGGAGAAACTTGCAAGGCATATAGACACGACTAGTGGAAGCAACCAAATATGAAGCGGAACACCACCAAGAAGAAGATAAACGAAAAGCATGAGAGAAATATGACCAGGCACATGTATATGACTCGTGCAAGCACCCGGAGTGAAGCGGTATATTACAAACGAAACATTGACGAAAACAATGAGTAAAACTTGACAAGACACATGCACATGACTAGTGGAAGCACCCAAAAGTAGAGCGGAACGTTACAAAGCAAAAAATTGACGAAAAACATGAGAGAAACTTCACAAGMCACATGAACATGACAAGTGAAAGTTCYCAAAAGTGAAGCGGAACACCACCAAGTGGAAGATTRACGAAAAGCATGAGAGAAACTTGACAGGGCGTATACACATGACTGGTTGAAGCACCAAAGAGTGAAGCGGAACACCACCAAGTGAAAGTTTGAAYGAAAACATGAGAGAAACTTGACAAGGCACATGCACATGACTAGTTCCCGCACSCAAGAGTGAAGCGGGACATTACCAGGYGGAAGATTAAAGAATAGCATGAGGGAAACTTGACAAGACATGTACGTGCACATGACTGGTGGAAGCACCCAAGAGTAGAGCGGAACACCACCAAGTGGAAGTCTGAACAAAAACATGCAACAAACTTGACAAGGCACATGCGCATGACCAGTGGAAGTACCCTTGATTGAAGCGAAACATACCTAAGTGAAAAATTGGATGAAACTTATAGAAAAAAATAACAAAACACATGCCCAAGGTTAGTAGACGCAAGAACGAAAGTTGCGATTCAAATTGAAGTGAAGGAATTGACAAAACAAGAGAAAAAGAAACTCAGTACACTAGAAGAGGTAATAATCAAAGTACTGATTTACACCAAAATGGAAGATTAAGCAAGACATGGAGAAAAAGATAACAAAACACATGCACAAGCCTACTGAGGGAAAAAACCGAGGTTCGATTTACATTGGAGTGGAAAAATGAACAAAACAAGGGAGAGGGAAGATCACTTTGCTAGAAGAAAATAATAATCAAAGTAACGATTTACACCCAAGTGGAAAGTTGAGCAAAACTTATAAGGAAAATGAAAAATACATTCACAAGGCTAGTTGAAGCAATAACTAAAGTAACAATTTACATGGAAGTAGAGAAATTGACAAAATAAGAGAGAAGGAAATTCACTACACTAGAAGAAGCAATAACCAAAGTACGATTTACACCCTCGTGGAAGATTCAACTAAACTTTGAAGAAAGATGACAATACAGATGCACAAGGCTAGTTGAAGCAAAAATTAAAAAAACGATTTACACGCAAGTGGATAAATGAACAAAATAAGAGAGAGGAAAGCTTAGTACACTAGAAGAAGCAAAAATCAAAGTAACGATTTTCATCCAAGTGGAAGATTGAGCAAAATTTGGAAGAAAGGATGACAAAACACATAGATAAGGCTAGTTGAAGCAAAAACCTAAGTAGCGATTTACATGAGAGTGAAGAAATGGATAAAACAAGATCGAGGAAAACTCACTATGCCAGAAGAACCAAGAATTAAAGTAGTGATGTACATCCTGGAGGGAAACTAAGTAAAACTTGGAAGAAAAATGACAAAACACATGTACAAGACTAGTTGAAGCAAGAATCAAAGTAGCAAATTACATGGGAGCAATGCACAAAACAAGAGAGAGAGAAACTCTAGGAGGGTAAGAGGACTCTTTCTACCCTTCCTCTCTTCCTTACAGCCTGAGCGCTACGACAGGACACTCTCATATGCCAGCACTACTTCCACCAGCCTTTGTAGGTTCTTCTACTAGCCTAGAGTCTCCCCCAAGCTCTCATGCAGACAACGATTCCCCTCCTCTTACTGGAGCTTAGCCTAGTGTTCTCTTAAGATAATTTGATCAGCATGTACTTGCCTCATGCCAATGTGTGTGTGGCGGACTGCTCCTCAACTTAAATAGGGCGGGCACAACACTCCGCCCAACCATTGGGCCTCTCCCAAGTGCCCAAGATGAGCCAAGATGCCCACAAGGCTTCATTTTACCAGTGAGCCTCTTTGGAAGCATCAGGGTCTTATTTTGGCCATGTACTTGCAGTACGGGTGGTTGGTACTAACTCGGTTTACCTTCGTGGTAATCCTAATCCTTATTTTAATCTTTAGTTGTTGCCGCATGGTTCCAAGTACTCAAGGGGCAACCTTGGTTGAAAAAAAAAGGTATTGTGGACCTTTTTTCAGTTTTTTTTTTTTTGTGCTTCAACTTGGGTGGGTCGAGGTACCTCCTTGTATCTCGTTGCATTTTCTGCCTTCCAAGGCCAAAATTAATCCGAGCTAACCACAAGTGGTCATTGCTTCAGATTTGAGCCGCATGACTCTCCTTTTCAATTTCCGGTGCATCTAGCCTCAATTTCTGGCCAAATGCAGTATTCTGTCTTTTTCTTTCTTTTGTTTCTTTCCGTTTTGGGTTGCCAACTCATTCCGGTGTTAACCATTTAAGTTGGCATTACAAAAAATGACCATATTGTCTCTTCCATAGATCTGAATCTCATATCTATGGCCTCCCAAAAAAACGATCAACTCTCTTTTGCGTTTTCTCTCATATACCTTTTTAATTCAGATTTTGTCGAGATATTACCTTAAGGGCCTTATCTCCTCACTTCGGATTGACCTCCTCTAAATCCAGAGTGATGAGGTCACAACAGGGACATGTCAGGCCTTAATGTGTTAGTCCCAACTGGTCGGCCATTTTCTCTCCACCTTTTTTTCCCACTTTGTCTCATTTGTCCTCCTTTTTTTGTGTGTGTAACAAGTGTCAAGCAATTGTAGACTCTTTTTGTAGGCCATGGATCTTGATCTAGATCTATATCAAGTTTATTTTTATTATTTATCGGATTGCAATAATGACACCCTCTTCTTGGATTGCAATAATGACACCCCAACACTCATGGGGTTTGCATTTTGCATCTGTTAGTCTCAATTTGCGGTCCCCCTTACTTCAATTTTTCCTTGGCAGACTTTTTGTTGCATAGAGTCTCTCAAGACTCAATTTTTTTTTACTTGGCTGGTCTAAGATATGTCTGACTACAATATGGGTCTTCCTTCTTCATTTCTTCTTTTCTTTTTCTCTGAAACTTTCTCACATTGACCCTACTAGTACTTGCACTAGTAATGTTAATATTCTCCACCGCTGCATATTGATCTTGGCGGTGCATCTTGCTTTGATTGTCTATTCGTTATGTCGGTCCACAATTTACTTAGGACAATTCAAGTCCCCTTCATTCATTCCACATTAGTCTCACCTTCAAGACCCACGGATGATCCCGTCGGTAGGGGTCGCAATTTTTTATTATTTTTATTTGGGCACTTCTAGTCTCCGACATCAATTTCCATGTGACTCTATTTTTATTTGGGACTCCCTAGTCCCCTTCTGTTCCATCTTCGACACCACACGGGTCCTACCGGACCCGACTTAGGGCTAGAGGGACACATCAGGGCCTAAAGGCCCAACCTTGGGGGAACAGGCGGAAAGGCCACGACTTGGACCCGACTACGGACCAGGCCCAAATGACATTTCGTATTTGGGCCTGACGGCGCCGTTTGAGGCTGCCGCTCTCCGGTTGGACCTGAATCGTCGATCTGGACGGTTCAGCCCCAACCAAGGCCTCGCAGCAGTGAGGCCGGTCCTCTTCGAACCAGTACTTAGTACTGGTCCGGCCTCACTTCGAGGCATCGAACCACCGACACTCTACCGGTGCGTTATGGTCAGCGCCAGAGCGTTGTTTTGATGCGCTAAGTTTAGCGCAGGAGCGAGCAAGGAGCAGCAGCGGCAGCGCAGCGGCAAGCGGAGCAGCAGCAGGGCGACTGAGCCAGCACGGCGGCCATTGCCGCCTGAGGTACCTGGGAGCGGAGGACCTCTACTCCCTCCCTCGTCAGCTCTCTCTCTCTCTCTCTCCCTTCTCCTCCTCCTCCTTCTTCTTCTTCTTCTTCTTCTTTTTCTTCTTCTTCTTCTTCTTCTTCTTCTTCTTCTCCTTCCGACTAGAGACTTATACTAGTTGGACAGAGATCAGAGTTGGACTTCGGTGATATGAGACTGTGGTACTTACCGGATTGGAGACTTGGAGATCGTTGGGGTTGATACTTGGCGACATCACAGTTCGAACACCGGTGACATTTGGACTCTGTATCCCCGACATTGGTGACCTATGGTCCTCGACATTTTGATCTTATTGGATGACATTTTGGACTACCATATCGGTGACCTATCAGATTCTACCTCCGTGACTTTCGGTGTTGTCTACCTCCCCACCTCCTTCGTCGCTCCTCCCACCTTTCATCTGTGAATGCGTGTACGGGATCTGGGCATCGTCTATGAACGGCCCAGACCCCACCATCTTACGATTGTATGTGTGTCGAGTGATGCTATGTGAGTCAGTCTATGTGAGTCAGTCTCTGTGAGTCAGTCCGTTTATCAGACTTCCGCTGCATATATGCTCATCCTACATTGGTTGATCTTTGGTTCTGCCCATACTCATTGAGGTATGCAACAGTTTTGGTATCGGAGCAGACCGATAACGGATCTGCTCACCAGGTAAGTCCGTTTAGAATTAGATTATTTTGTTTGATCTTCTAAATCGGCGCTGAATTATTATCGAGATTTAAGTTGCAAATATTTTTTTTTCTTTCGGTCTTCTGGTTATTTCGGCATTCCGTTTCAAATCAGTATTCAGACTTATTATTCGGATTTCTGTTTTATGCCGGTGCGCTGTTTAATTAGATTCGAGAAATTGATACTAATCCAACATTCTGTTTGATTCGGATTTCTGGTTAGTAATTCGTAATTAGGTTTGAATCAGTATCATGGTTGAAATTCGACTTTTTTTATTTCCATTCAGCATTCCATTTTCGGCATTCTGTAGTAAATCCTATATTTCGTTTTTCTTTTGGGATTTCCGTTGTCTTTGAGTATTGGAAATTAGGGTTACGAAATCTTTGTTTTTTTTCAACTTGGGAAATTCGAACGTTTTGGGATTGTAAATCCGAAAATTTCGCGGAAACGCAGAAAATTAGGGTTGGGACCGAAATTTTTGCGAATTTTTTTTTCGTTCCCCTTGTTGGAGAAATTCCGAAAATAGGGTTAGACCTTTAAAAATCGGATTTTGACGGTGGAAATTTCCGAAAATTCACGTTTTTTAAAATTCGAGCGTTTTTTTTTTGAAATTTTCCGAAACTGCTTCAAGCACACTAATCCGTATTTGACCCTCAAACTGCAGCTTCCGGGTAGTTCACTCATTAACGGTGAACTCCCGGACTCAAGTGATCTCAAAGAKACCTAATCATAACACCATTCAAATTCGTTATTATCATGATTGCAATGATTGGTTATTGATTTATCTTTTTGCAAATATTGATTATTGGTTATCTTTTGGATTATCATTAAGAATTATTATTTCGTTA